TACTTTTATTAAAAAAGTTTGCCTTTACTTCAGTACTCAGGTATCTTTAAATACCAAGTACATATATACATATGTATGTATGATTATGTACATATCAACATAGTATTTACTTAGTATCAAAACAGGTACTTTAAAAGTATAGGAAATGGGGGCCACTACGCACTGAGTTTTCTTTTATTTTGTAAAAAACATTAGAGCTTTTTCTGCTTACGATTGCTATAATCAAAAAACGAGCAAGTAAGTTCGTCTGCAAATTGTCTGGTTGCAATTCACTTTAATTAGTTGTGAGTAGTGAGTGAAATTCGCTCGAATTAAATTTATTTAGTTTTAGTTGTTGTTTTCATTGTGGATTTTACAATTTTCCCCTTTTCCTTACAGTTTATTCACATGTCTGTACGAATATTGTGCATATTACAAAAAAAATTCATGTATAGCTATGTCTGTTATTTTAATAGTTTTTTTTTTATTTACTTACATACATATGTACATATTTATTTGCTTCGTTTAGTAGCTCGCGTTAAAAACACAATGCACACATATTTGTCTTATCTATTGTTGGCGTTCAGTAAATACAAAAACACAACAAAACGGTAAAGTAAACATTAAAAAAGGAGAAAAAGTCATGAACAAATTAATGCAAAATGATAAAAAAACAGCAAAAAAAAATTAAAAAATAGCTGAAATAATGGCTAAGCAAACAGTGGGAAAAATTAAATGACAAAACTATTAAGTAAATTATGTGAAGTAAAGGAAAACACTTCCTAGTTGACGAGAAAATTTCACTTAATAAATGCTTGTATGCGTAGGCTAGGGCTGCCATAATCCTGAACCTATCGACCGGAACACTTATCATCCGAATAAAAAACGAAGATACAAGTGAATATGGTGCCAATATATTTTCGCTATAAGTACAGTTGCTTTGGTTCTGATATAATAAGCAATGTAGTTTTCTCTCAAGTTCTGAATATTTTTAATCATAAAAGAACAAATTTCTCGTGAGGGTGAGGTAACTTGGAAAAGCTGCGCCTTAACGTGGTCTTGAATGTTTGCCTTACCACCATTAGCAAATTTTCGTATATCCTACAACGGGCTTCATGATCATTTTTCCTATTTTGCATATGTATTACCTGAATATAATTTAGGTAGCATGTCTTAAGTGAAACCATTCTAAAAGACTTACCCAACAACATTCNTCAAATCAAAGAACTTCTTAAAAAGGCCTCCTACAAAAGCGCTTCTGAAAGCTCGTTTTTGAGTAGTGAAAGCAGAAGCCCTTCAATTTGTGCCGCTCCATACAAAAAAAAATGAAGGAGAAAGGAATAATTTTTAGAAAGGCCTTCTGGATGAGATTTTAGCTCCTGAAATTATTTACTGGGTAGTACTTATGTGTGACCCCTCAGCCGTGTACCTGAACTTGCACTTTTTTGGCATTTGCCTGAAAAGAGTAAGATTTTAACCAAATAAACTAAACGGAAAGAAGGTAAACTCACCAGATATCCAACATGTAAGAAAAAACGTTTCGTTATCAATTTTCGACTACTAATGACAGAAAGCTTAACCTTTTTTCATAGCAAAAACCTGCTAAAAAATAGAGTGTCTGCATTGATCTTCATTCAAAAACCAGGACAATTTAAGTGTGGACTAGGTCCTAAATCCTGGAAAACCAGGTAGGCTCATATTTATAAAAGGTAATAATTAAACGTACATATAATTTATTTAACAAGAAGCCAAGTTTAGAAATTTGTATTTTAGGTAGATTTCGGTACAAACTTTACAATTGATGTTTAAGGAACTTAAGGAACTTCGCGATGAGCTGGTAGATACATGCCTTCAATTCATTGCTTTAGGTTTAATAGAGTTTTGTTAAATATAAAGACGATTTCAGTTTCATGTTAAGCTATGGACTCACGCCACAATAAATAGCAGTGCACGAGATAGGATAGTTTGTCTGACAGTGCTAAAATAAGGTGAAACAATCGTGCTTGTTAGTAGCGAGTTAGTACAAAGAAAAGATAGTTCATCTTAAGTTGATGGCTATCGACCAGTTGAGATTAGGTAGCACGGGGCCATCGTTTTGTGAATGCCATCACATCTGCACCGTTATTTCGATTTTCAAAAAATTAGGTGTCAACTAACAAAGGGGAGTTTTACGCCGACCCAGTATCCCAGTAGAACTATTTAAGTTTTTTTTTGTCGAATTTAAAACGTTCGGCCAAAGAAAAATTATTTATTTTTTTTCAAAATTTTTTTTGCAACAATACTCTTTGCTTATATGGTGGTACTGTCTAATGTTCATATACATACATACATAAATATATACATACGTATATCCATACATAAACTCATGTACATGTTGCCTGTAGATGTGTTTATGTCAATATACATATGTATGTATGCATGGAAATGTACCCTGCAGGAAACGGGCCGTAACTAAACTACCTTTGATGACCGCAAAAAAGTTTCCTCTGCATAAGACGTCAACTAACTTGTAGCTAACTACTTTTGGACATAAAATATCAATAAGAAAGATTTTTTTTACATTTTTATTTATTTAATTCATGGAACAGTACAAATTTACTTATTTGTTTACAAGTTCTTTTGCAGGTGGTTCCATATTTGGATTTCATCAGACAAAATGGTAAAATAAAATTTCGATCTTTATTTTATCTGTCCCGAATTCGAGAGAGCATCTGCGAAGTGCAGTAAAAATGTGTATTCAAAGCTATTTTTGTATGAGGATCTTTAAAAAGAAGCTTGTTTAAAGAAAACAAACTCCCGATAACGCGTGACTCCTGCACGACTTTACAATTCACTTAAAGTTAGTTTTGTCACAGCTAATTAAATGTTAGGTATTGATCGGTCATTTTTTATCAATTAAAAATTTTTTCTGCAGGGTACCTTATAAGCTACTCGTTATTCAAATCGAGAGTAACGTGAGAGTACTGCCTCAGGCCAGATTGATCCGGTCTGTATACTATATACATACATATACGCATACATCAGAGCTTATCACACTTTCTAGAGCTTATCAAAAAAATTTGTAACTACTTTCATATACATATGCTAGGTATTTATTTATGACTGTTTGAAAATACATACGTATCTATGTACATACATATTTGCATACATTTGCATACTATACATACAAACGTAGATATATACATATGTGATATGCATGTACATGTAATTATTTAAATATTTACAAATAGCTGATGCATAAAATAGTTCGAACACGCAGCATTTCTAATAAACAATTGATCATTGCTAAGCTTTGCAAGAAAGTACAATGGTGCGAAAATTATTAAATTTTCCAAAATACTTGAAGTAATGAGAAAACTATGGAAAGCAACATTAGGTATCTTTATTGCTTTGACATATCATTAATAAAGACACATTCCAAGTAAACTACGCGCCTGAAAGTGTTGATTTTTAAAGTCTAATGCAGATTTTGACACCCAAAAATTTTAATTTAAATCAATTCAAAGAATTCATACATACATATGTACATATATATATAGTAAGTGTTAAATATTCTATTGTCCAAAAAAAAAACAAACGTTTGTGCGTATAAGAAGAATTTAGAAAGAGAAAACTGCTCACACGTGAAACGATTATGTGTTAGATTTCTCCTGGAGCGCTATGTAAAATGATGGAACGGTTTTGGATTTCTCACACAAACTGTTTGTAGTACTACTAGGCGTATATAACGCATTAGTTAACAGATAGGGTTCTTACTGGGTATATGTATGCTGTGTATGTATGTATGTGTATTATTTGCGTTTGATGGCTCCGGCAAAGAAAGTGAGTAAAAGTAATAAATGGAGAGGAACAGTGCAGTCTGGTATTTGTAAACCTCCTCCTCATGGTTGGACAGCACAGACCTCACTGGAAAGGACCATGCACATGGTTTATATTCTGGAGAGCGACGAGTATTGCGCTTGAAAGAAATTCAACAGTTCAGGGTTTAAATACCCTAAATTAAATAAGGTGCCTTAAATTGATCGTCGAGAAGCTCGCGAGTATAACGAGTTTTGAGATACAAGAGAATCTCGTGAGAAAGCGATCCTCGCGAGAAATTGCTTCTCGAACTCTCTCGGGAAATCGAAGGCTCTAGTATACAGCAGAATTTCTCAGGGTTTTCTTTCGATTGTAGAAGATTCTTCAATAAGGCTCAGCTGAAATGAGGTCAAGGTTTCATAGCAGTTAATGTTCGCAGGCTAATTTCAGAGCTTTATTGTTCGACTCGGTCTAATAAGTATATGTACATATATATATACAGTAGGGAGGTCCAAAAATAGTAAAGTCGGAATTGTAATGCTCTCACAGGAATGTTCTATATATTTTGAAATAAAAAAATATTTAGAGGTCGCTCAAAGTGCTCAAAGTGTTCCATGTATTTTATATGGGGAAAAAAACAACTTTTAGTAGAAATGGTATAGAATTCTTGAAAATCAATATTTTTCGATTGGAAATCTCTGTTTCTCTTCAATAATAATACCCAATTGTTTATTTAACAATTTTTTAAGACTAACGTTTTTTTTATTTGTCCCCCATTGCATTTTTCGGGGTATTTGTGGATTTTTAGGGGACCCATAAATTATGGTTACGATGAAAAAATGGTTAGATAAACAATTGAGTATTTTTACTGGGAATCTCCTGAAGAGAAACCCATTTTTCCGATCGAAAAATATTGATTTTCAAGAATTCTATACCATTTCTATGAAAAGTGTTTTTTTCCATATAAAATATATGGAAAACTTTGAGCGCTTTGAGCGACCTCTAAGTATTTTTATATTTGGAAAAAATGGGGATATATTTTTTTCGGAATAGAACAATACTAGAGAGTGACAGCATACAAATTCCGGCATTCCTTTTTCACGTGCATTTTTGGACCATCCTAATGTTCTATGAGCAATGTGTATGAAATATTAAATTTAAATAAATAGTAGGTATATAAGCTAAAAACATCACAAAGTATTTTTTGTTTTAATAATATTTACCTTCGATTTGGTGACAATGTTGGACGCCAACTTGACCACTGCAAAATTTCCCTTGCCAATTGTCTTCTCCAACTCATAATAGCCAACACGCAACAATTTATCCACTGATATTTTACTTGTTGATGGAACTTTATAGTTATCTGGCGTTGAGGCTGCCATCGCTGCGTATACGTTTGCGCAACGTTAACGTCGTAGCCGCCGCCACGAACTCCAAACAGATGCAATGTATGTATGTAGAAAATAAGTAAATATTGTACGATGCGATGTTGATTGCACGCTGATTGGTGACTTAACGCCCGTCTACATACTATATTGGACCACACTATGCTCGCGTATACGAATTCAATTCACTTGATGTGCGTTAAGTCGAAGGCTTCTTTGGGGGCAGGAAGCTAGCTAGACGTCTTTCAATTCAATTTTGTGGGTGTGCATTTTTATGCTGCCGCTGCCGCTGCCGCTGCTGCTCTGCCCTACTCTGCTCATTAGCAATGCTATTGCCGTAGCCGTAGCGACGGAGTGCAATGTCGCATATGTAAGTAAAAAGGCGGCGCGAGCGTTGTCGTTGTACAATAAATTGAGTAGTCGTTGAGCTTTCCTTGTAGCTAGCTGTGTACGGCTGTACTGACTTTATGCCCCTGCTTAGGTTGGAATCTTTGAAATTGTTAAATGACACAGAGGAAATGCTGATTTATGCTTTCGAGTGATTTCTAAAGAGCGAGTGCAGGTTTCTTTTACGCCGCTGCGCTTCTTACAGCGCTAAGCGTTGATGATTTTTTTTGTTGCTCTTGTTGCTTTAGTTGTTTCTGTTGTTGCTTGTGAGTTGCTACTGCATGCGTTAATTCATTAATAAAATAAATTTCATTAAATTGCCGCAATTGATGGGNGGGGGGGGGGGGGGGGGGGGGAGGGGTAAACGACGTGCGCACGCCGCGTAATGTTGTTTTTGCACGCGTTCTCTCTCACTAAGGAGATTAACAATTTATATATGTACCTATAACATATATACATTATGGCGGGTCAACTTCTATGATAGATTTTTTCAACTATGCGGGTAGAGCGTAGGAGTACTCTACGTGAAATTCAAAGAATGGTGAATTTTTTTCAAGCTAGCAAGCTAGAAAATTATTTTATACCCATAGTTTCTTCGGCCAATTTGATTAGAATTTCACGCAGAATACTACTATGACAAACCAACATATAAAAAAAAATATATAAAAAAAATTATCCACCCTAATGTACATATATTTAGTATGTATGTATGTATCTCTTCGGTTGTCGGAAGGTTGGTGTACTACTGGGAGACTTTTAAACATTCGTGTACACAAAATCGACTGCGAGTGCTTGTGATTTAAGCGGCTACGCGACGCGACGTGCTATTAATCTGTCCGTTGATGATGCGCCAACGTTTGAATGCCGCCGACGAACGAATGACGTGCCAAGTGGCCGAGTAGGCGGCGAGTGTACCGCACGAGTAATAAATAAATCAACTGGTGGATGTCGCTCGACGTAATACCTCGCGAATCGCGCACCGCACCACCTGCCCACTTCGAGCAGGAAAATTTTAGACTGTCGTCGAACAAAACTGCACTGAGCGAAAGAGGTTGAGAGGAGAAGGAGGTGGAAGGGGTTGGTCTATTCTGACTCTTGCTAATTTGTGAGAAACGAGCAGCGTACAGTTTAATTTACAAGAATCAGAATCGTTGCCGATCGCCGTATTGCAAATGGTTTTAAAAGTTTTTTTTGTTTGCCTGAAGGTGAGAAACATGATCGGCGAGCGCATTTATGATGCGCGCAACGATATGCGATCGACCAGAAAAGACAAAGCGACGCGCGCACCCTTATGATGCTGATGCCAATGATGATCAGTGTTGCCGTTATGCACCTAAAGGGGCAATTTGACCATTTTTAAGCGCCAGTACCCTTTGATCCGACTTTTTGAAAATTTTGATTTTTTGACTCTTTTCTAAAATTATGTGCCATTTTTGCCGCTTCTCGAAGATTTTTTAGGAAATGTTAACAGAGCCATGCTACTGAAAAATATTTCCTACTGTAGGTACCAAAAAATTAATCACTTAAAACTTTTAAAGACAATGCAACTCGATTTCTGTGTAAGTTTGCAAATCTGTTTTGTGCAAAGATTGTCCCGCTATTTTCTTTTTAAATTCAACAGCAGAACGTTCTGGCAGCGAAAACACTTTATAATACGCGTAAATTTTATTTTGACTTTGGATCTCAGATTTATTTTATTACTAGTAAAGGAAAGCAAGAATAACATGGCGACCCTTTTTTTCGTCAATGACCCCTTTTTTGCGACTACATATCTGAAAATCTCAACGGCAACACTGATTATGATGTTGTCTGTTGTTTGTTGCCGTCGTTATTGTTGTTGCTGGTGATGTTGTTTGTTGCTGCCGTTAATCGTATTTTGGCGGCGTGGGCGGTGAGGGATTCTTCGTTGTTGCTGCCATGTATTGACAAAAAATAAACAATTAAGGTCGCTGTCGAGCATGACGGGCGCCGAGATGGCAGAGGATCAAAGACGGCGGCACAAAGCACGAGATCACGGGTTTTCGTTTGAGTTGTTTGTTGCTGATGCGGCTGCTGTGGAAAATTATGAAGACGACGCTATTATTCACTGTTGGCGTTGGTGGGCGTCGATGGCGATTTCAGTGACGCTGGCAATAATGGGGAACTCAGCCACAAGGTACGATAGGTAATCGCCAAATGTATTGGCCATATTTTGTTGCATATATGCCGTAGTCTTGTATTAATTCTGTCTTAATTTCTTTTACGAATTTGTTTTGAGTTTGACGGGTTTCTTTTATTAATAAAAAAAAGTGAAACAAAATTTGCGCAGTCGTTAGTTGTTTTCTGCAGTCGAAGAGCGCCTGTGCGTTGGCCAGAGGTGACTCAGTGGCCGATGGCGATTTTTATTATTTTTTGTTTTTGTTTTGTTTTTAAGATTTACCATTTGCACTTCAATGCTTTGTTTTATTTATTTATGATTGTTTACTTCACTGCGTATCGCAGTTGCACACATACATACGTATGTACCTACAGATGTGTTTATTAGTTAGTATTTATAAGTAAACACTTGGCACGATTAATATGCTTGAATATTTATTTTATTTTTATGTTTTCAGCTTGCCTGATTTTGCTGTAAATTTCGTAAAATTCCCCACCCATGGATATGTCCTTATTTACAAAAAAAAAAATTGTGTATATTTTGACATATTGCTGGTCTGTCTATTCATTTTTTTTTAATGGAATTCAGGCTATGTATTAGAGGTATACGCCGCCGCCGAGTTACGAAAATATCGGCGCGGCGGCGGCGGCGGCGGCGTTCGGCGCCTAGGGAATTTTGTACAAAATTTTCATGTTGTATGCACATTGAAATACATCGTTTGAAGGAACTAAATACTACTCGTATAAAAGCACTATTTTACGAAATGAAAATTACATTTTTAAAAGAAGTTTTTTTGGCATAATTTGGGCCACTGAACATTTAAAAAAAAAACGTAACTCAGAAAAATATATAGGTAACATGTTTTTCGATCGACAGCGTTTATTACAGTTAAATTAGGGTCGAATAGGGTAGAAAAGTTTTTTTCCTAAGTAGTGGTCAAACCCCAGGAAGGTTTTGCTCCCGCGCATAGCAATATTTTCTACACAGAGTTGAAGTCCCCCTTTTTGGTAAAAATTACTATTATTTTGCATTACATTCTGTTCTCCTTAGAAAAATTTGGCACTTAATATATTATTGGAAATTTAACTATTTATAAGCCATTTTTCAAACAGTGGGTCAAAAAGGCCCGTTGTGGTGGGAGTTGATGGGTTAAACTTTTGGAAAAAAGTAGGCCAACCTTATTTTCAATATATAACCCGCAAAAATTCGTAAGAACTCCGTAATTTAACATAACGGTTGAAAGCTTATTGCAAAACTTTATTGATAGCGACATAAATTACCCCAATAACTTAACCTTTAAATTTTTTTATTTCTTTAAATTGAAATAGTACATACGCATTTTTAGAGTACATAGAGATGTATGTATATTAGGGTGCCCATCGAAAATCGTTTTTTTGTACCTTAGTACTACATATTTTCAAATTGTGGAAATTATCGATGGTCAAAATTTAAAAAATTCATTGAAATTCAAGCAAAAATAGTCTCTCAAAAACTCATGAATCTAGAAAATCGTATTTTCTGACCTAAATCCACAGGCCGCGACCTCTAAATGGCCTTTAAAAAATCTATAAAAATAGGCAATAATATCTCTCATAAATCAAAATAAATCGAATCAAATTAGGGGGTAGGGTCTTTAAATTTTCAAAAAAAATCATTTTCAATGGGAAACCTAATGTATATACTATATAGACTTTCTTCTGTTCGCCCATCCATCAGCAGCAGTCACTCAACATTTGAATTCAATGAATGAATTAAATAGAATTATAATCTGATGACATGATAAGATTAGAAGCCTCATGGCTCTTTGGACTCTACCTTATGGGCAGTAGCGCCGGCGTTTCCAGACGCGCCGGCGTCGCCGCCGCCGCCGATTCTTTTTGAAGTTGAACACGCCGCCGCCGCAAAGCCTGTCGGCGTAAACCTCTACTATGTATGTATATATTCATAGACCAAATTAAACTTTTATAAAGTTAGTTAACAAATAAGGAAAAAATGTTACAAGTAATGTTTACACACATACAGTGGTCGAACAAATTTTAGTCGCGCCAAATTATGACAAGTTTTCATAATAATAATTTTTTTTAGTTATTAATATTATTTATGTTTTACATAAGGTTTTACAGAGTTGTTTTCTAATTTCTATTTTTTTACATTTAAATGCATACTTGCTGGTTCTTTGATTTATTTCAATCGATTTCACTATTCTCTTTTTAACCGACTTCAAAAAAAGGAGGAGGTTTTTAATTCGTCGGAATATTTCGTATTAATTTTTTTGTGTATGTTACAGCATAACTTTAGACCACGTTAAGCGATTTCTACAATTATTATTTTTAAAAGAAAGGTGGTGCCTCAGAGGTGGTCGCATACTAATTTGGTTTAGATTCGGTCACTTGATGAATAAAGTAACGGTACTCTTTAATTAAAGCCGGTTTTGTTTTTGGCTTAAAAATTTCTTGTTTTAGTTTTTTCTCCAGATATCGTAAGGAAGTTATCAGTTATTCTTATTTAATTTTTTTCACATTTAAATTTTTTTAATCTATTATTTTACGGTTACATTCGAACGTTCTTCTCGGTGTAATTATTTTTATGGCATTGACTGCCATTTTCTCAAGTACGTTTTAAAATTTATCTGTCCTTCAACTATATTTTTTCATAACAAAATTTGATTTACGTGATTTTTCAGATTCGATTTTTATAGTTATAGAATTTAATGAAATCAGTTAATTATTTTGAGTTGTATATTTTTTTAATTCCAATAAAATTATTTTTTTAGGGGATCCCAAGAAATCGGATAGAGTACGGGAGTGTTGCAAAGAAGACCATGGGAAGGAAGCCAATATGTGGGAGAGATGGGCCGCGTGAGGCGTAGAGAAGGTCAGTCAAACCTGAAGGGAAGCAACTTGAATTGACTTGGAAGCGATTTCCAGAAATAAAAAGTCGTAGCGTGCATGCGCAGTGCAAAAATTTAGTCTGAGCTTAAGCTCAGATTTTATACATGATGCCCAATGTGTAACAGGGAATTAACGGACTTAATGTCACAGAAATTTACGAAGAAGAAGTAATCAGAACCACGCTGGAATTCAGTGGCAGTGGTGTGGTAAACTTGGCTTGAGTGCACCAGTTCCTTCCAACCAGAATCGGATTAAATGAAAACACTTCACAAAATCTTTAAGTATGTACTATGTATGTATGTGTAAATTATATTATTATTTTATGTCTAGGAAAAATTAACACGAAAAAGTATCTATTGAAATAATTGCAAATATTAAATTATAT